CACCTTCTTTTTCTATATCTTAGGTAGCACTTAGCACAGTGCTTTTAATCCCTAATGAAACACAAAAACCAAACCCGTTGCCATCAAGTTGATTACAACTCATGGTGACCCCACGTGTCACAGAGTAGAACTGCTCCACAGTAGATTGCCAGGACTTTCTTCCACAGTGCTGCCAGATAGGTTCCAGCCACCAACCTTTAATTTTAGTACATGAGTGTAAAACGTTTATCCCCAGGGACCTTCAGTCCCTAACAGGACATCACTGATATCTGATTTATTGATAAGCACTATTGTTTGATGTGAGGATGCTCTTCATATTAGTGAATTGGACAAAGCTTTGGAACTAGCAGCAGGTTGAATGAGCTGACATCCTGCTCTGCCTGACAGCATTTTAAATGCTGAAACAAAGCCACTGCTCCACCATCACCGTCAGAGAATGGATGCAGCAAGCCCGTGACGGGAGGGTGCTGCAGTCCAGCATATGCTGTTTAACTGGCACTCTGGACAGGCCTAAACCTAAAAGACAAGCCCCTGAACAGCACAACTCAGACAAATAAACATTAGCTGTGGAAGCCCAACAGACCAAAAGGGTTAGGCAATGCTCAACTCCATTTTTATTTTAACAGAAGAATAAAAAAAAATTCACCTCTTCAAAGCATTTTCTGGAAGTCAGCGACTCACCAAAGCCCACCAGTGGTAGATGCCTCTGGCTCATGGCTGCCCTGACAACTCCCGCCAGCACTCAGAGATGACAGTTTACAATGACTGTGTTCTCTATTTATTGTAGAAGGGATGCTGCTGTGATTGCTCCTGCTGTGCAGATTTGAACGGGAAACACTTTCAGGATTAACTGCTGCATTGGAGGGAATGGGAGCTGACATGACTCCCTGAGAAGCAGAAAGGACAGGAGGAACAGCTCTCGAGAGAGAAGGGTTGAGTTGGGCATACAGAGGAAATGGTCCCAGACCTGGTTCTTAAGTCTTAAGTTCCTCAGTCAAGACATCTACCACACAGTCTTGCTGCTCCTGTACAGGGAGCACCAGGCAGCCATCTTACTCCACTTTGAAATAACGCTTGCAAGAGTCCTCAGACTTCCGGGTGACACAAAAGTTTACGTGTACTTTAAAAGGGTGGGAGTAACTGAAAACATCCTTGCCTTCAAAGTCCCAAAGGAACTGTTGGACAAACACAGAATCAAGTCTTCAATAAAGATTTGCCAACATAAATCACGGTTCTGTTCAAGAAAGACAAACGTAGGAATAGGCCCCGGCTACCCTTTTAGTTCAGAGGTGAAGTCACTCCTGAGGTTCACCGTTCAGTCGGGGATTGGACAGCCCCAATTAAAACAAAAGGGGACTAATGGGGCACAGCAGTCCAGGGACAAGGACTAGAAGGCGGGAGGGGACAGGAAAGATGGTGATAGGGAACCCAAGGTTGAGAAGGGACGGTGTTGATATGTCATGGGGTTGTTAACCACTGTCATAGGGCAATATGTGTACTGACTGTTTAATGAGAAACTATTTGTTCTGTAAACCTTCATCAAAAGTACAAAAAAAAAAAAAGAATTATCTATGTGAGATCAACTTGACAACAGCAACTCGAAAGGTTTGATGGGAAGCCTAGGGGACAGTGAGTTGAAGATAATGGTGATGGAATAATTGGGAAGAGGATAGTGAGAACAGCAGCACAACGGGAAGAATGTAATTGATGTCACTGAATTGTACTTGTAGAAATTTTTGAAATGGTGTATCTTTAGCTATGTATATTTTCACCAAAAAAAAAAAAGGCCCTCCAAGGTTGAGAAGACAGAGTGTTGACATGTCGTGGGGTTGTTAACCAATGTCGTAAAACAATATGTGTACTGGCTGTTTAATGAGAAACTATTTGTTTTGTAAACCTTCATCTAAAGTAAAATAAGGATAATTAAAAAAAAAAAGAGAGATGTTGTACACATTACTGCAGGGAGGATGCTGGTCCCATTTTACATATAGAATGAATTATATCTAAAAATACAGTTGCAACTCACCCCAATCTAGTTAATATTTTTAAACTTTGCTTAATGTTGAAATCAACTCAAGCCTTTTTTGACTGTTTATTATTGGAAGAAAAGCCTGGCAATATACTTCCAAAAACTCAGCCAATAAAAACCTATGGATTTCAACAGTCCAATCCCATTGCGCATGGGGTCACCACGAGTTGGGGGCCAACTCGATGACAGCTAACCACAACAACAACATTACGTATATTGCACCGTTTAAAGTCATTTTGGATTGGCACAGTGGCTGCAACCATGGGCTCAAACATCGCAATGATTGTGAGGATGGCACAGGACCAGGCAGCACTTTGTCCTGTCGTACGTAAGGTGGCTGTGAGTGGGAGCTGACTCCACAGCACCTAAGAACAACAACAAAGTCATTTTGGTGATTCAAATTTGAAAAAGAAAATCTTCTCGTTATTAACAGAGGGACAGTGGGTATGTATATAATTCTAATGCAAGATACAAAGCAAAAAAAAAAAAAAAAAAAGAAACACAGAAGTAGGAGACACATGCCCCACAGATACTGAGGGAGACCTGATTTCCTTTATTTTAATCAAAGACGTGTAGTGGCTAAAGCCTGCAGCTAAAATGAAACATCTTCGTCATAATGACAAAACAAAACAAGTATTTGTCTCTATTAATCCTCCCCAAGTCACTCTAACTCTGTTCATTTAGATTTCAACATCTTGATAAACGTTTTACTACTCCGTCAGGGGTCTGTACTGAACAGGTCCCACGTAACTTTGGTCTACTAATAAAGCTCACTCTAGAACAATGTTACAACTCTATGTTTTGTAATATTGCTACTGAAACTCTTCAATGTTAGGCCAGTTACTACCAAAACTCCTTAGTGCTAGGCAAGTATTATGGCACTTTGGCATATGAATGGCCAGATTACATTTTTGTTTTTTTTTTTTTACAACTTCTCCATCATGTTTTTAACTAACAGCTTAACTGCAATAAAATTCACATACCATAAAGTTCATGCTTTTCAAATACACAATTCCGTGGTTTTTAGTCATTCAGAGTTGTTCATACTTCACCACTATCAAAGTCCAGAAATTTTTCATCACTCCAAAAAGAAACCTACATCTGTTAGAAGTTACTTCCCATTCTCACTCTGTTTTGTGGTTTTGCAGAGTTTAAGTTTTACACTTCTTCTGTTAAGTGTATCCCTAAGTATGTTATTCTTTTTGATGTTATTGTAAACAGAACTAATTTCCTTTTATTGGGAATTAATCTCCTTTCAGACTGTTCATTGCCAGTGTATAGAAATACAAATGATTTTTGTACATTGATCTTGTATCCTGCAACCTTGCTGAACTTGTTTATTAGTTCTAATGTTTTCTAGTGGATTCCTTAGGATTTTCTATATACAAGATTGTGTCATCTACTAGAGTATGGAAGAAGTTTTACTTCCTCCTTTCCAGTCTGGATGCCTTTTATTTCTCTCTTGTCTAACTGCTCTGTCTAGAAGTTCCACTACAATGTTGAATAGCAGTGCTGAAAGTAGGTATCGTTGCCTTATTCCTTATCTCAGGGGGAAAGTATCCAGACTTTCACCTTTGAGTATGATGTCAGCTATGAGTTTTTTCTTAGATGCCCATTATAAAGCTGAGGAAGTTCCCTTCTATTCCTACTTGGTTGAGTGTTTTATCATGAAAGGTTGTTGCATTCTGTCAAATGCTTTTTCTGTGTCTATTGGGATGATCATGTGGTTTTTGTTCTTTTTCTATTAATATGGCATGTTACACTGATTGTTCTTGCATGTCAAACCAACTCTTCTTTTCTAGGATAAATCCTCCTTGGTCATGGTGTATAATACTTTTTATATACTGCTGGATTCGGTTTACTAGTATTTTGTTGAGGATTTTTGCATCTATATTCATAAGGGACATCAGTTTGTAGGTTTCTTGTGATATCTTTGTATAGTTTTGTTATCAGGTATTTATTTGGGGGGATAATTATTTAAGCAGACATCATAATTTGCCAACTCTTTTTACATCTGTCAGTTTTTTTAAATGTTGCAATGTATCTATTTCTTTTCCCCCCTTAAGGTCTAATACTGTGTGGTCTATGCTGGATATATAGCTATATATATATATATATATGTCCACACAAATAGGCACATAATAGATTAATGAAATGGGTAAAACAGTGGAACAATGGAACACTGTCCTATGACCACGATGTCTTCCCATAACCACTCACAGGCAAGGACTTTACTCTCTCCCTAACCCCACCACTTTCTGACTACTAAATCTTAAACGCCCAATTCACATATTACCTTCTCCTTGAACCTTCTCATAAAGGACCTTTCCTCCAAACTTCTATATGATTGTTTGATCAACTCAGTAGTGCACATATATACAGGTTTTTGCTACAGATTTTTGTGTTTGTCTTTTTTTCTAAGGAACTTCTGACTCTGTTTTTTTACTTCTTTTATTTCAGCCATGGCACCTAATAAGCACATTACTCTTAGTTAACACTCCATATATGTTAATTTTAAAATAATTTTATTAATTCATCCTTGACGCAATACTCAGGAACTCCATGAGCTATATGTAATTATCATATTTATGATGCCACTGTATTTAACTTCATCAAGCATTTTAAAAAGCCAACTCTATATTTCAAGCATTTCTACCTATCAACAATTATATAAACTGATTCAAAGTATAAAATTTATTTTTTTAATTGAAAGCATATTGCATTATTTTACCATATGGTATAATGAGAATTGGAGCCCTGGTGGTGCAGTGGTTAAGAACTCGACTGCTAACCAAAAGATGAGCAGTTCGAATCTACTAGCCGCTCCTTGGAAACCCTATGGGGCAGTTCTATGAATCTGGGGAAAAAAACAAATTACATAACAGGTAGTTACTTTAAGAAAAATTGCAAAGTAAAATTATGCTGTTTTCCCTTTCAAGTGACTTGCTTTTCCAAGAATAAATATAAGTACCTGGTGTAAGCAGGATGACTGAGGTGACAATTAAGGAGCAGATTACCAGAATAACAAGCAAAGCGATTGCTATTCCTTTCCAATTCCTTTGTGGAGGATTACTCCCCACCAGCTCCTAAAAACAGAAACAAAAAAGAGAGCCCTTGTGAGTGAAATAAGGAAATAAAACCTGCAAAATAAATACTTTTCATTGAAATCAAGACCCAAAATACAAAACGATGAATGAAGTATATTCTCATCCTTGAAGCTAGTATTAGCTCCTTTCTCTGCCCTTCCAAGCTTCACTGCCCAGAGCTTCAGGCTGCCTCTGCCCTATTCCATGGCAAGACCTCTCCTCAAGAAAGAATCTGGTACTATGTTTACAGTTTGTGTTCGAGTCTAATGACTGTCCTCCTGATAAAGCAAGCTCTACGGTATAGGGTAATCTCTGTGCTTTCTCTTCATTATAGCCCACCTATTAATGCCCAGCCAATCGAAACCCAAATATGTTAAATTACCCAGCCTCTACTGCCTTGCATCTTTCTCCTTCATTGCATCTACACTGTAAACCTCTATTTCAGGCTACGAAATTCAGATGTTTATGCAGCACCTACTATATGCTGATTTTAACCAGACTTCCGCCACCCACCTCCACCATCTTGAGTCTGTTTTTCCTTCCACAGCTCCCAGACAAGCTTTTAAGATTTCCTGGCCTCTCTTCCTCTCTTCACTAGGTAGCACACTGATGCCTAGTCCAGGTTTCCACATCCTCCAGGGAAACATTTTTGCACCTTTGGGTGGTGGTGGAAATCTGAGGCAATGTAAAGGTTCAATAAATCTAGGAAATTAGTAAGGTCTGTTTGTTGCTGAGACTAACCTTTCAGTTCCCTTCAGATAAGAGTGATTGTATAATTTATAGTCCAAAATAAGATCCTTCAAGAGACACAGGGTTATTATTAGTAATTATACTAAGCCAGAGGAGTCTCTGGAACTCTAGGGAAAATGAGGACAAGTGGTCACACTGCATCATAGCACAGCAAATGGACCACTGTCATGTCTGCCCATACACAGATCTCAGAATACTTTCTCATATACTGTCCACAACTGCAATTCATATTAACTCCAAATCAAAATGAAACAGGATGGAGATGGACTCCCAAAGCAGACCATTGTATATGTAAATACATCTTCTTCCAAGACTGAAAGTTCATTAGAACACATCAAGTTGCTGCCAATCAAAATAAAGACAATATTGACTTAACTTTGGGACAGCAAATAGGTTTTAACATACTTGCCATCCCTAACAACCAATTTTGGCTATCTAGGTAATCAAATTAAGATAATTTCTGAGTGTCATTCTAGTTTTAGCAGGAACCAATTCTATAGTAGTTTAGAAATTTCTGCCAGTTTTAATTTATCTATTAAAGGGTGGATTTTTAGTACTTAAAAAATACATCTAAACATAAGCATGAAGTCATTAAAAAAAAGTTACACTAAGTCAATCTCATTTCTTAGTTGATAGGGTTTTTGCTACACAAGAAAAACACTGAACAACATATGGACAAGTAATAGGATCTAATTTAGGTAATTTTCCTTTCAGCCAGGTTTAAAAAAAAAAAGACATTCTAAGTAAATTTGTGAAGAGCATGAATCTTGAAGTGGTACTAGTCATACAACCAACCTTGTATATACGATCTCTCATACACTTCCGCTTACATTTCTCAAAACACTTTTCAGATTAAATCCCAGGAAAACGCCAGAAACCAAAAAGTTAATACTTAAGATTAAATCTTTATTCAAGAGTCAGAATGATAAAATTAATGTTATTGTCTTCAACAGTTCAAATAGTTAATGTCTTTTTAATTTTATTTCTAATAAGAATTAAGCTAGAATTCTAAATTCTGTTTTAAGCATGTCTGTTATATAATAAGGCAGTTCTGGGTGGCACAAACAGTTAAGTGCTTGGCTATTAACCAAAAGGTTGGCAGTTCAAATATACCCAGATACACCTTGAAAGAAAGGCCTGGTGATCTGTTTCTGAGAGATCACCGCCTTGAAAACCCTAAGGAACACGGTTCTACTCTGCAACACACTGGGTAGTCATGAGTTGGAATCAACTAATAGCAACTGGTTTAGGTTATTATTATTATTATTATATAAGAGATGCACTGATCACAGTTTATACATAAAATAACATAGGATTTTTACTTTGTATAACTTTCTTATGCAGCCAGTAGTGTAACTGATTTACTTGCAAAACTGCATTTGAATGAATGCTGCCAAGACAGAGGCCCTGTGTATTACTCTCTGGCCCAAACATACCCACAATAAAATGTGCAAATCTAGGCTGGATATTTTGAGAGATAACATACAGAGTGTGTCTAGTAAGATGACCAGGTGACTAAGACCTTTGTAAAACACATGTCAGATGAAGTAAAGTTGAAGGCAATGTTCAGCCTCAAAAACCAAATACATAGAGTCTTCATGTATTTGAAGAACTATCACGTGGAACAAGGAGAAAAGATATTCCGTATAGCTCCAGAAGGCAGAGTTAGAAGCACAAGGGAATTTCTCAGAGGCAGAATCGTGTATCAATGAAACTTAAAAATTTCTGACCATTCTTTTTGGTGGCTTACATGTTGCTGTGATGCTGGAAGCTATGCTACCTGTATTTCAACTGCCAACAGAGTCATCTATGGTGGACAGGTTTCAACGGAGCTTCCAGACTAAGACAGACTAGGAAGAAAGGCCTAGAGATCTACTTCCAAAAATCAGCCATGAAAACCCTATGGGTCACAACAGAACATTGTCACAGATAGTGCTGGAAGATGGGTCCCCTATGTTGGAAGGCACTCATAATACACTGTGGTGCCAACAATGGACTCGAGCATACCAACGATTGTGAAGATAGTGCAGGACCAGGCAGTGTTTTGTTCTGCTGTACGCTGAGTCACCAAGAGATGGCGCTGACTGGAGGGCAAGTAACAACCACAAATTCTTGCCTAATACAGAATGGGCTGCTTCACCAGGACATGGGTAGGTTGATGAACATCCATCAGGGATACAAGAGTGTCAGTCCTTCAGGGAGGATGGGGGACGTAGATAATTTAAACATGTCTTAACACACTGTAAGTTCTATGGGAACATACAGGATGGAAAAGAAAGATGAAACAGTCAAGAAATGGGTACTGAAGGTGGAAAAATGATAGGGACAATTCGAGAGAGGGGACAAAAACTGTGCTCCCTGTGTGCCCACTGGACTTAGAAAAGACTCTGCACAGAGGACAGTTCAGTTCATATTCTTGAATGAAAGGGCGCACCGTAAGATAACCAAGAAGGCTTCTGATAGTACATCCCACTTAAGTGATTCTGGCTCACTTTCACCATTTTTAAGTACATAAGATTCTGACTGCCTTCCAGGCAGCATTCTTGCATGAAAACGGCAGGGTAATTTCATCCACAGCAAAGTAGACATTCTTTATTACATTCCATTTTCATTTGCCAAATTTCATTTTTCAGGGTACAGGTAATGTTTTTACTACACTAACAGTATTGTAACAACAACAATGGGGAGCACACTAAAGAGGAAAAAATCATGAACAGAGCTCCTAGCACAGTGATATTTGAAGGAGGCACAGCTGGGAGGAAGCCTGATGGGCTGACATTGAAGAAAACGCCAAGTCTGAGGTACAGCGCATGCTTTGGGAGTGGAGGGAGCAAGAAGGCCAGTGGGTGAGAGTGGCATGAGCAAGGGGACAGGGCAGACAGAAGGAGGCCAGGGCAGGAGTGGAAGGCCAGGCAACGCAGAGCCTCTGGCTTTACTCTTAGTGAATGGGTGTTTGAGCACAGCAGGGAGTCAGTCCCACAAGAGAAAGCCCAGCAGGGAGCTGCTGCTGGAGAACAAACCATTGGGATCAGGATGGGAACATGAGCCATCAGCACAGAGGTGGGGGGTGATGGTGGTTCATCCCAGGTGGTACCGCTCTAGGTGGTGAGAAGTGGTTGAATTCTGTATATGTCACAGGAAAAAAAGAAACATCAACAGCACTATCCTAAACAGTTATACAGGCCCAGGTGTCAGGCCACATTTCTGTGTCCCTTTTGCATTTGCAGCCCTTTCTGAGGCTGCTGGAGCCCTGGTGACACAGTGGTTAAAAGCTCAACTGCTAGCCACAAGGTCAGCATTTTGAATCCACCAGCCACTCCTTGGAAACCCTATGGGGCACTTCTACTCTGTCCTATAGCGTTGCTATGAGTTGGAATCGACTCGATGGCAACCAGGTTTGGTTTTGGTTTATGAGGCTGCTGGCTCTCTTCCAACAGAAAATCCTGTTGGACATTGCCACACAGCAAGTCTATCCTCCTCCTTCATCCTACCTCTAAGCTAAGGCTAAGTTCTTTCCTACTCTGCAACACCCTGCTGATCCTGGGGCAAGTCACTCACTCCCATTCCCCATGGCTTTGTATATACTATTTGTTGCCTCTACCTTCATTTCACTAGGCAAACCTTTCTTATTCTTTAGTTGTCAACTAATATTGCCTGTGGTATGTTAGAAAGCCTTACCTGAGTTCCACAGGCAATGTTCAATATATTTTTATCAGAGCACTTGTAAACACTTTTCCCTAACATTACTGCAGTATTCAGTCATCTATGTGCACATGTATGTATCACCAGACAGCAAGCTGCTTGAGGACAGTTACACTGCTGTACTCCCAATGCCTGGTACACGACTTGGGACACCACAGTGCCTAGGGATGGTGTGTCGAATGAATCAGTGAATGCATGCATACCTCTAAAGAAGTAACTTTGTTATTTGTTGACATGTCTAACAGAAAATCAATTGTTGGTTGATGCAGAAAACAGAGGGTTAATACAAGCCTAGTAGCATGAATGATGCAGTAAGTAGCAATGGCAATGGGTACCAAAAGATGTAATGCTCTAAATGGGCAGCCCCTGTTCGGAGGTGAGACGAGAAGGCAGAGAGGGTCAGGAGCTGGCTGAATGGACACAGGAAATCAGGAGTGGAAAGGAGGAGTGTGCTGTCACAGTACAGGGAGAGCAATTAGGGTCACATAACAGTGCATGTATAAATTTTTGTATGAGAGACTAATTTGAATTGTAAACTTTCACTTAAA